AACACTTACCGCCTCGAGGGCCCTCCCCCGCTTCCAAAGCATGCCCAACTGGCAGCCAAATCGTACGAATAGTTTGGTGCGACTTGGCAGTGCTTGATGATTTCCTGAAGGAGAGTATGATGATGGCGCCATTGCGGCGCCGCATCAAGAACCAGGAGAGCCAGGTGGAATGGCTAGAACACGACAGTGCGGAGTTGCACGAGGAAGTGGCGTGGCTGGGTGGCCTCCGCGCAAAGGGGGAGAGCCAACGAGAGGGCAGCTTCTTCGTTGTTCGTTTTCTCCCGCGTTTTCACGATTTCGCTGATTTCGAAAACGTTCAAGGTGGGGAGGAAGAGGAGGAGGGGGAGGAGAAGGAGGAGGAGGAGGAGGGGGAGGAGAAGAAGGAAGAGGGGGAGAATGTGGAGTGGAGAACAGGAAAAAAGAAAAGAGTGCAATCAGTGCATGCTCTGGTGGCGTTGGTGGTTTGGGGGTGTTGAGGGTAGGGGGCGACCATATGTATATACATATGGATATGTATACGTACATACATATGTACAAATGTACGTACGTACATACATACAGACATACATGCATGCAAACAATGGCATATATTACCCATACGACCACCCTTCGGGTGATAAGGAGGTTGTGGGGAAAAAAGGGGGGAACCAACATCAGACACAATCGATCTCACTATCGATCTCACTCAACGGGATACCACGGGACACCACGGGACACCACGGGACACTTGTCGATCTCACTATCAACCTCACCATCGATCTCACTCAACGGGACACCACGGGACACCGCGGGACATCTCTCGATCTCACTATCGATCTCACGATCGATCTCACTCAACGGGACACCATAGGACACATTAGGACACCACGGGACACACCACGGGACACCTCGGGACACCACATCGATCTCACTATCGATATCACTACCTACACGACCGCCCTGCGGGCGATAAGGAGGTTTGGGGGGGATTGAGATCAAATGCCCACCCTGACTGACCTCCAGCCTGTCACCTTGATCTCATCTCTCTCTTTCCCTAATGGATGGAATAAGATAAGATGGGATAAGATGGATTGGATAAGATAAGATGGGTTGGATTGGAAGAAATGGATTTGATAAGACAAGATGATTCGAATTAACCCGCCGCAGGCGCAGAAACAAATGAATTGATGGATTGGGTTGGATGGATTGGACTGGGTGGGATAAGATAAGACGGAACAAGATGGGTTGGATAAGATAAGATGGATTGTACTGGACAAGATGTATTGGATAAGATAGGCTGGATTGGATAAGAAAGCCCGCCGCAGGCGCCGACAAAAATGAATTATGAAATTAGCGACATGCGTTATGGCACCGGGACGCCCGGGACACCCGGGACACCCGGGACACCGCCCGGCCCAACTGGGACACCTCCCGGCCACCGGCGGACAGGAAACGGACTTTCGCTCCTACTGACACCCGGGACACCCGGGACACCGCCCAGCCCAACTGGGACACCTCCCAGCCACCGGCGGACGGGAACGGACTTTCGCTCCTACTTCGGCCTAGCTACAGGAGGATCACGCGCAGCTTCCCCTCGCCCGCACGCACGACAAGAAACCGAAACCGACTTCCCGGTGGGGGGTCTCCGTTTCACTGCGATCTCACCTCCAACGGGACACCACGGGACACCACCGGACACCACGAGACACCCGCGGGACACCAGCGGGACACTAGCGGGACACTGGCGGGACACCGCCGGCCACCGGCCGCCAGAAAAGAATCATTCAGTCCGGCCGCGGCCCAGCCACAGGAGGATTTCGGGACACCAGCGGGACACCGCGGGCCACCGGCCGCCGGAGGAAAAACACTTGGTCTGGCCGCGGACCAGTCACAGGAGGATTTCCTCTCGCCCGCCCACGCAGCTTCGCCTCGCCCGCACGTACGCACGGCACGCACGACACGAACCCGAAACCGAAATCGATTTCCCGGTAGGGGGGGTCTCCGTTTCACGTCGGACTCATCACCCCCCAACCTCCGGTATATGACGAATCTGATGCGCTGCCATCTAGGATCATACGGCGATTATATGGCGCCCTGGAACAAGATGGCGATTAAACGGTCCGTCTTGACTGGAGATCCGCTCGCGAACTGCTGCCGTCTGAGGCTCAAGAGGACCTGCGAGCCCAGTTACGGACGGGGTCTCGGCGCTGAGTGGTTTTGCACCTTGAGCCTGCCACGCCAAAACAACAAGAGACGGCGCGGGCCAAAAAGCGCTGGCGGCGCCCACACGACACCGTCGCAACGCCTCGGCGGCGCAACACAGGAGGCAAGACTTCTACGTTGGCGGTCGGTTGGTCTTGCCAAAGACATATACGGCGACACCAACTAGACACCAACCTATCCTGGTCTGATCGGGCCCCATGCACGGCGTTCCAGTGCCCCTCGGTGCTTCTGCGTCGCAGAGTTCAGCCTTGAACGCCTTCGCCGGCGTCGCCGGCGCGCCAACGCCGCATGAACCTGCCGTAAAGAAGCAAGGGCCCTGGAGGGCCATGTTGGCGTTCTCGAACGGGGCTGGCCCGCGAAAGTCGCCGAGGATGAGCCGAAGGGGCGGGGATATGCAAGGACAGCCCGAGAAAGATGCTCATGCCTACTGTGCGACTGGACAAAGGCACTTTCGGAGGCCCGCGCAAGTTTTTCTTGGATCCGGCGCCGGCCTCCGGCGCGCTCTACGCGCGGGCCTCCGAGAGGTTGTGCTCAGGTCCTTGCTTGTTCTCTCTTGTTCTCGCCCTCTTCCACAGGGCGTTCTCGCATTGGGGGGTTCATGTCATGATTCGTTCCCCGAAGGAGGGGGAGGGAGGGGGAGGCCCCGACGGGGGGGGGAAGGCAGGAAGCGCGAAGCAGGCGGCGGTCAGCCAGGAGGGTGGGGTGGGGTGAGGGGGGGCGCCGAGTGCAGGACGCGAGGGGGGGACGGGAGAGGGCAAGTTGGGCGAAAGCGCGAGGGCGAGTGCAGGCACGCCCAGGGAGGCACGAACAAATAAGCACAACCCATGTTTCTCCATGTTTTCTGACTTTCGTCCTCCCATCCACTTCCCATATTTTCCCATACTTTCCCTGGAATAACAGTGTATTCCAGTCTGCGCCTATTCCCCCTCCTGACAATTCACATCGCATCGGGAAATCCGGATCAGATCCTGAACGTGCATCGGCACAGAGTCGGCAACGAATCTAATCGGCGGCGCCAGGATGCACAACAGCGCCACGCACGCGTCGGGCCGATTCGGGTCACCCGAGAATCAGAATCGAATCGGATCGGGCCGGCCAGTCGAGGTCGAGTCGGATCGATGGGATCGAGATGGACCCTGGGATGGCAGGGCGCCAGCCGACGCGGCCGCGGCGGGCCTCTCGCCCCCGATGTGGCTGTCCACCTCCGAGTCCGAGTCCGACACGAAGAACACCGCGAGCGCCGTGATCAGCGCGCCCTCGATGTAGTCGATGGCGCTGTAGCGGCGGTTCCCGAGCAGCACGCCGACGAGCATGACAGGGACGACCTTCAGGGTCTTCATGAGGGTCTGGGTCTCGAAGGATATAAAGCTCAGGGCCATGTGCTGGCAGGTGGTGGCGCCCAGGATGGCAGCGCCTGCCAGCAGCGTCCACCGCATCGACTTCCCCTCCCCAATGACGGGCAGCCCGCGCGCACGCAGGCTGGCAAAGCTGACGAGTGCGGCCGTGCAGTGGTTCACCGACACCTTGGCCTGCGGAAAGCTGAACAGCTGGCCGCCGAAGCTGTGCACGCTCAGGAACTCCTGCGCCACGCCGTAGGAGAAGTGCAGCACGTGTATGGCTATGGCGCACAGCAGGAGCGGAGCGAATCGCAACAAACGCAGCCTCGAGCGCCCAGCCTTTTCCAGCTTGGTCATAAGAAAGGACCTTAACGCCCGGACTATCACCATGCTGAAGGTGAGCGCGACGGCCACGGACGCAAGGGGAGAGATCTCGTGTCGGAACAGCGCCGCAGAGATGCACACTGCGATCACCTGCCTCGTCGAGGCTATCAGCGTGAACACGGTCGGACCAAAATTCTTGACCGTGTAAGAAATGAAATACTGGGTGAGTGTCGAAGCGAGGGAGAGAACGAACAGGTGCAGCATGACGTCAGGGTGTTCAGAAATGAATCGTAGGCATTCGAAGATGGTGCCACTAAGCACCAAGATAACAAACATCCCCACAGCAGCGACCGAGGACATCGCGAACGTGGCCTGCACAGCCGTCACCTCAGGATGTGTTGCGAACAGCTCGTCCTGCAGGTGTGGGGTACAAGAATCGAAAAACAGCAAAACGCAGAGGAGCAAGATCCCGATCCACACGGTCGAGCCCCCACCCTCACGTCCATCCGTCTCGAGGCCGAAGACCACGAGGGCGCAGACGATGACGAGCGTTTCGGCGTAGTCGACTGGCGTGTGGCTCTTGCCCCTCCACGAGCTCATGAGAAGCACCGGCAGCATCTTGGCGGACTTCGTGGTAGTCTGGAGCGTAAAAGAGATGTAGTCCAGGCTCTTGTACTGTGACCAAGACGAGACGCCATTGGACACGGCGGCCTTAGCAGCCAGCATGTGGCCAGGCACCCAGAGACCCTGACCGTGGACCCTCACGACCCACCCCGTAAACAGCGCCGAGGCAATGCGATTGCACAGAACTACGAAAAGCGAGCTCGGAATCTTCGACACGACGCCCGGCTTGGTGCTGTAGTCGTTGGTCATCACGTACTCCTGCGAGATGCCCCACAACAGCATCGCCGCATTCAGTGAAACCACGCAGTAGAGCAAGTTAAGCAATTTCCATACCGTTTCCACCCTCTTGGTGCTCTCCTCCTCCTTTTCCGCCTCGCTCGGCGATGCCTCTGGTGAGGCGGGGCCCTTGACGGGAGGGTGGCCTTGAGCCTGACGTGCGCCCAGCTCCATGCGCACGACCGAGAAGCTGATGCAGAGGATAATCGGGGGCGGCCAAGAGGGGGGCGTCCAAGAGGGGAGGGTGTAAATCATGGCCGGCGGCATGTGCGCGGCACAAGGGGGGGCCAGGGACGTAATGAAATAAGAAGAGGCGCCGTGAAAATCTGGGAAAATATCATGGCCCACGCCATGATATCCGCCCCCACCTAGTCCTCACCCCCCTCCTTACCGCCCCCGAGATAACCCCGCCCATGGCCCACCAGAAGCCTTTCCGGTTCAGGATGTCAGAGTGCGTGACCTCGTGCCCCACCTTCCCGGGCTGCGCCGTCCCAGGCGCCTCCCCGGGCTGCGCCACCCCCGGCGCCTTCCCGTGTGGCGACGCTGCGGGCTCCTCCGGGCCGCGCGGCTCGGGCTCGCCAACGCACCGCGACAGCAGCCCCGGCAGAGCCTGCAGAGCAGCGCCCGCGTGCAGGCGGTACAGCCGCTGGCCGTCCAGGCCGAGCGTCGCCGCCGCGATGCCAGCCGCCCCTGCGCACGCCTGGGGAGAGGCAAAGGCCGCCCAGGCGGGGCCGAAGCAGCTGGGGCCAGGGATACATCGGCAACGTCGGCAGTGCATCGGCGCCGTCGTCGCGGAGAACATCCGGAGCCACGTCGAGAACAAGAGCAGCGTTCCTGGAACAGAAAGCCGGCGCATTCAAACACAGCCTCGGCCAGAAGTGTACTAGGAACACTTCGTACAAACCACACACAAGGTTCTGTCAGAGCATTCTTTACACATTCTGGGTTTCTTACTAAGCGTGGGGGGGTACCCCGCCCCGACGAATGTCAATCTCTCCTCGTCGTCGCGCCGCGACGGGGGTCGGAGCGCCTTCGGCGCGCGGTGGCTGCCCGCGACGGGGGTCGATGTGGGGCTTTCAGCGGGGATCACGCCCCCCCCCCCACGCTGATTAAGAAACTCGCAGTAGGCAAGCCATGACGCTTCGCCACTGCTCGACTCTGTCTCGAACCCCACCGGAGCGGCCTGGAGGCACGCAGGATCCACGCCGCCACTGGGCGCACGCTCGAGCGCCCGACCCAGAGCTGCAGACCTCCATTGGAGGTGGCCCCCCGGGCCCTGGCCCAGGAGACGGCCTCCGCTCAGACCCAAAGGCCCGACGCCCTGCGTTCCTCCGTGCGCGGTCCCGGAAAGTCCTGTGGGACGAAGCCAGGACGAGGATAACATCGGGCGAGGACGAAGCCAGGATGAGACGAAACCAGGACGAGGATAATTCGAGACTCTCTGAAATCTGGCGGCTGTGGAGGATGTCTCAGCGCCGCGGCCTTCTCAGAGCGCTGCAAAACGCTCTGGGAGCGTTCCAGAACGCTCGGGAAAAGATTGATCCTCGTCCTAGCTCCGCCCGACTTCCCCAGGACTGGCCTTGTATCCCGAGCCATTTTTGAGTCCGGGGGGGCCGGCCAAAGTCTCCCGTCGTCATGTTTTGTTACGACGCGATCGTGTGTGGATCGTCCTCGATGCGATGGCGTTCCGGGGACCCGGGCCCTCGGATGCCCCGTGGGTGCAGAGAAGGCCCCACTGCCGAGGTGGCGTGGGCCCCGCGCCGAGACGGCGTGAGCCCGAACCGCACAGGTTGCCCGTGGCGCTCGGCGTCGTCGTCATTGAGACTCCTAGCAGCGATTGATCGTTCCCCCGCCGCGTGTTCTCTTGATCGCCGCATCCTCGTCTATATGCCTGATGCTTGCCCCCTCTGACCCTCAAGGAGCCACCCCCCCCTGGACCCTCTCTGGACGATATCCTCCCCGAGGAGACGGCCTTGGACAGGCCACTCGCCGACGCGGCGCGATACCTGGCCAGAGAGAGTGCGGCACGCATTCGGAGACACATGTTGCCAATTCGGCTACCCGCAAGAGTGACCCTGGGTAAGAGTGACCTTCGGTGGGCGATTTCTTGGGGCCGCGGGGGGGCCAAACACAGGCGCGCAAGAAACTGCTACCGCATCGCGTTCGGCGATCGGTGGACCGTGGGCCCGCACCACCCCTGCGCGTGATCGAATGCGGCCGATGCAATATCCAGGATCGGCCCCGACCCCGGGCGAGCGCCGCCCTGGGCGACAACTCTCAACGAGGCGGATGCTCACTCGAGGCGACGAGGACATCGGAGGGCGGAAAAACAGCATCAGCGCCACGCCGGTCGGGCGACCCCATCAGCGTGTGACCGTTGAAGAATCGGGGAGACGCAAGACTCGGGTTCGGGGGACTCGGCTTGGCCTGACGGGGCCCTCATGAAGATGATGAGACACAATCTGAAATTTGACTCGAGCTCCCGCCGCAAGCATCCCACGAAGACTGGACCGTCAAAATCTAAGACGCGCTCGTCAAAAAACGTCGGCAAACCAGACTTCTGGCGCGCTCGAGTCTTAACCTGCACATTGTGAAAGATGACGCGCGCGCCCGCCTCCCCAGACGTCCGGCGCTCCAGTTTCTTCTTCGATGCGTGGGCCCCCGGAGATCTGGACAACTTCCTCAGGGCCTGTTCATCCCGAGACGTTTTTGACGGTCCTGGGGCCCGTTGAGGGCCCCAGACGCCGAAAAAAGGCAAAAGAAACGATCCTGGCGAAGGACCCAACCATATGCAGTTGTAAGTACCGCAGTGGTGCGTATCCTCTTCGGTGGAACCCTCTCATGGGGCCACGAAACGTGAGGGGTGTGCCGAAATGGGTGGCGGGGACGCATGTGATCACAGCCACTGGTGCCTTCGGTCAAGCTCCCTAACGTGTGAGGGGTGTGCCGAAATGGGTAGCGGGGGCGCATGTGATCACAGCCACAGGGGCCTTTGGTGGAGATCCCGATGGGGCCACTACAGGTGTGAAGGGTATGCCGAAATGGGCGGCGGGGGCGCATGTGATCACAGCCACTGGGGCCTTCGGTGAGGTTCCCATGGGGCCACGAAATATGTCAGGTGTCAGGGGTGTGCCAACATGGGTAGCGGGGGCGCATGTGATCACAGCCACTGGTGCCTTCGGTGGAGCCCCCTGTGGGGTCACGAGGCTGGGACGCATGTGATCACAGCCACTGGGGCCTTCGGTGGAGTGCCAAGAAAAAATGCACACGTTCTAACGATGCCAACACAATCGGTGTATTGCCAGGCTGACTCCAAAATTCCTGGGTTCGCCGCCGCTCGCTCGCTCCCCAGATGTGCTCGCGTCGTGGAAAAAATGGCCTGGCGAAGGACCCAACCCCATGTGCAGTTGTGGTTACCGCAGTTGTGGGCATCGCCTTCGGTGGAGCTCCCCCTGGGGCCACGAAGCGCTGTACTGGGTGGGGGAGATGCATGCGAACTGCGCCACTGGGACCTTCGGTGGAGTGGGCCACGAAACGCTGTACTGGGTGAGGGAAGCGCATGCCAACTGCGCCAGTGGGACCCTCGGCGGGGCTCGCCCTGGGGCTACGAAGCGCTGTATTGGGCGGGGGAGACGCACGCAAAATGAGCCATTTGGACCTTCGGTGGAGGTCCTCATGGGGCCACGAAGCGCTGTACTGGGTGGGGGAGACGCATGCGAACTGCGCCACTGGGACCTTTTGTGGAGCTCCCCCTGGGGCCACGAAGCGCTGTACTGGGTGGGGGAGACGCATGCGAACTGCGCCACTGGGACCTTCGGTGGAGCTCCCTGTGGAACCACGAAACGGTGCACTGGGTGGGGGAAAAGCGCATCCAAGCTGCGCCGCTGGGACCTTCGGTGGGGCCCCCTTAGGGGGCCACGAAGCGATGCACTGGGTGGGGGAGACGCATGCGGACTGTGCCACTGAGACCTTCGGTGGAACTCCCTCGGGGGCCACGAAACGTGTGAGGGGTGTGCCGAAATGGGCATGCGGTGGACGGGGAGGACGCATTGCGGCCTTGGTCACTGGAGCCTTCGGGTGACTTCCCTATGGGGCCGCTTGGGTGAGGCAGATTATGGCTCTGCACCTGCTGCACAGCGGCTGCCACCCTCGCACGGTAGTCTTCAGGCACACCAGCGGCAGAGGTATGACCAGCAAACGGTCGTGAATGGCCTGGGGTGCCGGGCAGGTTTCCCTGCTGACTCGTTGGCGTGCCAGGCGGCATCATGTTCAGGAGAGCTGTACAATGCTCAGCCCTAGCCGCTGCGATCCTTTCCATGAGGGTGCCACTCGTGGCAGGGCGACCAGGAGTCCCGAACGGAGACTGTGCAGGTGGCGTCGCCATTGTGGTCATGCCCCTCGGTGTGTGCATGCTTGGCGAGGGGCTACCATGCATCTGCTCGAACACGAAGCGAGCTAAGGGTGTGCCAGAATGGGCCTTCGGCTGGCAGGGAAGACGCATGCGGACGCGGACTCAGGAGCCTTCGGTGGGGCTCCCTATGGGGCCACGAACCGTGTGAAGGGTGTGCCGACATGAACATGCGGTGGGCGGGGCGGACGCATACACACGCCACCACTGGGGCGTTCGGTGGAACTCCCTACGGGGCCACGAAACGTGTGAGGAATGACCCGAAATGGGCATGCGGTGTGCGGGGCGGACGCATGCGGACGCCGCCACTGGGGCCTTCGGTGGAACTCCTTCTGGGGCCACGAAGCGTGCGAAAGGTGTGCCGAAATTGGCTTGCGGTTGGCGGGAATGCGCATGCGGACGCGGCCGTTGGGGCCCTCTGCGGGGTTCCCTATGTGAGGGGTGTGCCGGGCCTCTCCAACCGTTCCCTCTTCGCTTGCCCTGCGAGGCCCTCGATCCCTCCAGCTCTCCTCTCCTCATCTCCTTCCTTCCACCCTCCCTCTCCCCTCCGAAACCCTTATCCCCTCGCCCACCCTCCCCTCGCCTGCCCTCCACTCGCCTCCTCCCCTCCTCTCAAAAACCGCCTCCCCCTCTCCAACCCTGTTGCCCTCACCTCCTCCGTCATCTTTTCCTCCTTACACCTCCGAACTACTGCTTCCACTTCCCAGCCCTCCTCTCATCACCTTCCATACCATTCCCCCTCCTCTCCTCCCATAGTCATCCTCCCCTCCCCACTCCTCGTCCACTCACCTCCTCATCCCCTCCCCCTTCCACATCCGACGCCCTTTTTTTTGTGTTCCCTCACCCGCCCTCATCATCTCACCTCCCCTACCCTCCCTTCCCCACTCCCCTGTAAAGATCCCGTCCTGCTACAACGAATTATCATCACTCACCTCCCCTCCCCTCTTCCCCTCTCTTCTGAACCTGTTCCACCGCCCCCAACCCGATCACCCCCGCGAGGAGAAATTAGCCCGACGAAAGACCCAACCATATGCAGGTGTGAATACCGCAATTGTGATTCACTTTTTCGGCGGTGACCCCTATGAGACAACGAACCGTGCTGGGGGTGTGCCGAAATGAGTGGCGTGGTACACAACGCGAATTAAAACGATTGACCTGAATACGCAGGGAGACTGAGCGCCGGTGAATATGAGCGCGAGTGCGTCTGACTGTGAATGAATCTGCGTGCGAGCGAGTCTACGTGCATGGATGCGAGTATGACAAAGCATGGTGTGATTGTACATGAATGTCAA